CTTAACCCTGGATTAACGAGAAAAGTATAAGAGGGAGGGAGGAGCCGGCTGGTTCCACTGTCATGTTCAACGTCATGAGAGGCAAACATTTAGGATTGAGACAAGAATGAAGGAAATCTCTCTGGTCTCTCTCTCTGGTCTCTCTTTCTAGTCTCTCTTCCTGGTCCCTCTTTCTGGTCTTTCTCTAGTATCTCGCTCTCTCTGGTCTCTCTCTCTGGTCGCTCTCTGGTCTCTCTTTCTGGTCGCTCTCTGGTCTCTCAGATGTATCTCTCTTTGCTCTATCTCCCTGTTCTCTCTCTCTGGTCTCTCGCTCTCTCTGGTCTCTCTCTGGTCTCTTGCTCTCTCTGGTCTCTCTCTTGTCTCTCTTTCTGATCGTTCTCTGGTCTCTCAGATTTAACTCTCTCTCTATTCTATCTCCCTGGTGTCTCTCTAGTGTCTGGTCTCTCACTCAGGTATCTAGACTGAGTATCTAGACTGGGTAAAACATCTTCAGTTCCTCCTGATCTCAGACCTTTGAACAGGTAATTACAGACATACATCAACCGAAACCTCTGCTGGTGCTGCATAAATGTCCATACCTTTGCACAGGTCCTGGAATTAAGAATAAATCTATCTACAAGTTTAGTTCTGAGAAGGTCAAACCCGACACAGAAGTAGATATTATTTCAATGCAGTTTGTGCATATTTAACTGTGTTTTAGAGAATGTGTGATCTGACCCGGCACATACAGTGAAAGCTCCCAGAGGTTTCCCATCACAGTCCTAACCAGACCCTGCCCTGCTTAGCCTTAGAGGTCTGACAGGATCTGGCTTCCATAACAAAATCCATCTCACTAGTTCCCAGTTTAAAAAAAGTTTTGCTTCTATCACTAGTTTTCACAAATAGGTATTTCTGGCCTCTGTCACATCTAAAGATCAACTTTTTCTGGTCTCTCTCTCTAGTCTCCCTCTAGTCTCTCACTGGCCTTTCTCTTTGGTCTCTCTCGTGTCTCTCTCTCTAGTCTCTCTGGTCTCTCTCTACTCTCTGGTCTCTCTCTCTACTCTCTCTGGTCTCTCTCTACTCTCTGGTCTCTCTCTCTACTCTCTCTGGTCTCTCTCTACTCTCTGGTCTCTCTCTCTACTCTCTCTGGTCTCTCTCTACTCTCTGGTCTCTCTCTCTACTCTCTGGTCTCTCTCTACTCTCTCTGGTCTCTCTCTACTCTCTGGTCTCTCTCTCTACTCTCTGGTCTCTCTCTACTCTCTCTGGTCTCTCTCTACTCTCTCTGGTCTCTCTCTCTACTCTCTGGTCTCTCTCTACTCTCTCTGGTCTCTCTCTACTCTCTGGTCTCTCTCTCTACTCTCTGGTCTCTCTCTACTCTCTCTGGTCTCTCTCTACTCTCTGGTCTCTCTCTCTACTCTCTCTGGTCTCTCTCTACTCTCTGGTCTCTCTCTCTACTCTCTGGTCTCTCTCTACTCTCTCTGGTCTCTCTCTACTCTCTGGTCTCTCTCTCTACTCTCTCTGGTCTCTCTCTCTACTCTCTGGTCTCTCTCTCTGGTCTCTCTTGTGTCTCGCATACCATTTGACTCTGTCTTAGCTTTTTCAGACAGAAAACTGAAACAGAGAGGCCCTCCCTCCCTCAGCCAATGAGCTCAAAGCGTCAAATTGTGACTCACAGGGCTCTGATGAAACAGTGTGACTCATCCACAACATTTTACTTTCACCTCAGACTCTGTAACCATTGGTGCAAACAACACAGTACATCACTCATGCGGAGCAACTAAAGCGACGTACCGCAGCTTCAAGAGCCAAAACAAACAGAAAAACCCTTCTCATTTGTCCTTTAACAACCTCACACTCCACTCTCACCATCTGCCCTCTCCTCCGGCGCCTCCAACATGGCCGCCGCGCTGATTGTGTCCCAGTCTCCGCAGAGAGGAGCAGGAAGCGCTCCCTAATTTGCATGGCGCTCTCAAATGCATGAAGCGCGCGCCCATTAAGCTAGCACACACGCCGCGTCGTGCTCGTAGCCGTGTAGCCGCGCGCGCAGGGGGAGGCTCGCCATATCTTTTGATTTGCCTGATATGAAAACAGTGGTGGCTCGCAATCAACGGAAAATGCAGTTTATTTGGGGTGAAATGAGTTTTTTTATTGGTCCGTGTTTGCATCGAAACGCTATTTACTCGCGCTTATTGGCGGGCAGACCCAGGGAGCATCCGCGGCTGATTTTCTCGCAAATTTGTCATGGGGCTACTACACGATTGGAAAGTGAATATGTGTATTTATTTACATAGGCACGAGGCGCAAATGGAGATCGCGGCTGGGGAGAGAGAGTGCGAGACGAGGCCTGAGCGTGGAGCCCGGCCAATCAGAACGCTGATTGCCCGGGGAGGCGGGACTACCAGCTGTTAGAGGAAGTTACCGTGGCCCGGAGGCTCGCGGGGCTAATGCATGTGTGTTTTTCCGGAATACTTTGGTTTTGAAAAGTCCCCACAGTGCGACGATAATGAACGCACCACCGTCGTCCGCGGCAACGAGGCGTAATTTCAATAATATTAGACTATTTTACTACAGTTTAAATGGGAAAATCTGAGAAGGAGGCTGAAAATAAGTGTTTTTGTTACTCGGTAGAACTGTTAAGACTCCTGTGTCATGAATATTAAAGCAGGGGTACCTAACTTATTGAGAGTAAGATCCTTTTTTGTCCCACAGAGGAGAAATTTCAGATATTTTTTTTGGAGAAAGTATACATTTTGAGAGACCACCACATGCTATCTTCATCTTGATATTAAACATGTTATCATTAGCGTACTGAAGAAAAGACGTTTTGATTGGCTGAGTGAGGGTGGTTCTCTGTTTTTTCATTTTTCTGTCTGAAAACGTTGATTTCAGATGTGACAGACAAAAAATACATGCAATACATAGAACTAAAGTGTTTTGAGCAGGGAACTAGAGATATGGATTTAGTTACATTTGTGAAGACCAGATCCTGTCAGACCTCTGAAGCTAAGCATGACTGGGCCTGGTTAGTACTGTGATGGGAGACTTCTGGAAATACCTGGTACCAGTATTGTTGTTTCCTTGATAAGTCTGGGGTGTGTGTGAATGGTTGGTGGTGGTGGTAGGAGGGGCCAATGCCACGTAATAGTTGCCTCGCTTCTGTCAGTGTGCCCCAGGGCAGCTGTGGCTACAGTAGTAGTTTATCACCACTGGTTTTGGAGTGAATTAATAATGACATGTGAAGTGTCTTTGAGAGTCCTGAAAAGTGCTGTATTAAACCAATTATGGCTGGTCTGGTCTCTCTCCGGTCTCTGTTCTGGTCTCTCTTTCTTGTCTCTCTCTGATCTCTCCTCTGGTCTCTCTAGTCTCTCTCTGGTCTCTTTCTCCTGTTTCTCTTTCTTGTGTGTGTGTCTCTCTCTCTCTAGTCACTCTCCTGTCTCTCTTTCTTGTCTCTCTCTGGTCTCTCTCTCTAGTCCCTCTCTCCTGTCTCTCTCTAGTTTCTCTCTGATCTCTGTCTCCTCTCTTCCTGTGCGGCTAAAACTACAAAAACAACACGAGCTAGTGCCACAGCTAGCTTCTCATTCTGCCACCGCTGTGATTGGATCATCTCTGCCTCAGCTGTTACCAACATTTAGCAAAATCTCTCTGTCTCTCTCAAACCACAGTCATTCTAACTTCCTGAAACAGTAAATCTCCATCACATTGAACCCACAAGATATAAAACGGAGTCTGTGTTTCTGGTGGATCCTCAGTTTGACTAATGTCTTCTGGAGTGCGGGTCCATCGCTCGCCGCTGTGTCCCATGCATTATGTAAGCCTCAGTCTGAGCGTGGAGCTAAATGAAAGTGTTAATTGGTGCTAATCACGGAGCTCATTAGGACGGGAAACTCCCTGTCACGGCTCTGATCACTTTGTTATTGATTCGGCAGCAGGAGTACTTCATCATCCTCACTGGATCTGCTCATTCACACGGACACGGAAAGCACCGGACACGGCTCTCAAAGACACAAACCTGAAGCTGCTGCAAAAAGTCATAAAAATAAGTAAAAATATGGCAAAAAGTGACTTTGTTTTGAATTGCACGGCGGCGTATAGCAGTTGGAGATTCTGGGTTTGATTTCACCTCCAGGCCTTTCTGTGTGGAGTTTGCATGTTCTCCACGTGTCTGTGTAGGTGTCCTCCAGGTGCTCCGGTTTCCCCTACCACCATAAACATGTACAGTAGTTGAATGGGCAATGGATTGAGGCTGTAGATCCAGGATTGAGGCTGTAGACCCGGCACTGAGGCTGTAGATCCAGCACTGAGGCTGTAGACCCGGGACTGAGACTGTAGATCCAGGACTGAGGCTGTAAACCAAGGACTGAGGCTGTAGATCCAGGACTGAGGCTGTAGACCCAGGACTGAGGCTGTAGACCCAGGACTGAGACGGTAGACCCAGGACTGAGGTTGTAGACCCAGGACTGAGGTTGTAGACCCAGGACTGAGGTTGTAGACCCAGGACTGAGGTTGTAGACCCAGGACTGAGGTTGTATCAATCAATCGACCTTTACTTATAGAGCGCTTTTCCTACTCAGGGCAACACAGATCCAGGACTGAGGAGTCTCCCAGGTGGGGAAGGAGGTGCAGCCCACAAGTCCAGGACTAGCAGAGACCAGGCCATAGGTGCAGATGAACAAGACCAAAAAGAGGAAACAAAAAACTGGTTAAAAGTTGTAAAAACCCAGACTTTAGAATCCGTCAGAAGAACTTTTCTCCTGGTGTTCCATGTGAATGTGACATAATCTCTTGTGGCTCCTCCTCTGTGATGAATGTCTTGGCTGCGCCTCCCCGCTCCTCCTCTGTGATGAATGTCTCGGCTGCGCCTCCTTTTGTAGCGTGTTTGTGGATTATAAGCTTTGGGCTCGACCTTGATGGAAAATCATTAGACTTTCATGCACATTAGAGCCATACGTGTCCAATCCATCTCTGATCCTCACCTCTGCCTGCACTCAATTACTCTATGAATATATCTGATACATGTGGAGATGGGAGGAGGAGCAGGAGGAGGCCAGAAAAGGAGGAGTGGAGACAGGAGGAGCAGGAAAGAGGAAGAAGGTGAGAGGAGGAGGAGAAAGCAAGAGGCAGGAGGAGGCGAGAGAATGAGGCAAGAGAAGGAGGAGGAGGAAGCAGGCAAGGCAAGAGGAGGAGGCAAGAGAGGGAGGAGGCAGGAGAGGGAGGAGTGGAGACAGGAGGAGCAGGAAAGAGGAAGGAGGTGAGAGGAGGAAGCAGAAAGAGGCAAGAGAACGAGGCAGGATAGAGAGGAGCAGGGGAGACAGGAGGAGCAGGAAGGAGGAAGAAGGTGAGAGGAGGAGGAGGCGAGAGAACTAGGCAAGAGAAGGAGTAGGTGTGTTTTTGCTCCTGAGTGTTTGTTATTGCTACATTTCCTATGTTGGAACTATTTGATTCTCTGATCTGCTTTTGGGCAATCAACAACTTTGTCTGAGGAAACAGCTGTTTTGATTCAGGGCTCTGCACAAATACATTGAAATGAACTGAAATGGAAGAATTCATATACAACTGGAACTTTAGCACATTCTGTCATGTGTGTGTGTATGTGTGTGTACGTGAGTGTGTGTACGTGTGTGTGTGTATACGTGAGTGTGTGTCTGTGTGTGTGTGTGTACGTGAGTGTGTGTACGTGTGTGTAAGTGTACGTGAGTGTGTGTCTGTGTGTGTGTGTGTACGTGAGTGTGTGTACGTGTGTGTAGGTGTACGTGAGTGTGTGTCTGTGTGTGTGTGTACGTGTGTGTGTATGTGAGTGTGTGTGTGTATACGTGTGTCTCTGTGTATATGTTTGTGTGTGTACGCGTGTCCATGTTTATGTGTGTGTGTACGTGAGTGTGTGTGTATGCGTGTCTCTGTATATGTGTGTGTGTGTGTGTGTGCGTGTCAATGTGAATGTGTGTGTATACGCGTGTCTCTGTCTCTGTGTGTACGCGTGTCTCTGTATATATGTATGTCTCTGTGTGTCAATGTGAATGTGTGTGTATACGCGTGTCTCTGTGTATGTGTGTGTGTCTCTGTGTGTACGCGTGTCTCTGTATATATGTATGTCTCTGTGTGTCAATGTGAATGTGTGTGTATACGCGTGTCTCTGTGTATGTGTGTGTGTCTCTGTGTGTACGCGTGTCTCTGTATATTTGTATGTCTCTGTGTATGAGTGTGTGTGTGTGTGTCTCTCTGTATATGTGTGTGTCTCTGTGTATGTGTGTGTGTCTCTGTGTGTGTCTCTGTGTATGTGTGCACTTGTTTTCAACTCCTGGTGGGTTCCATAACCTGAGATTCCACTCACGTCATGGGGACTGGTTTTACGTGGTGGGGCCCGAACACCGGACCCCACTGGTCCAAGCTTAATAATCAATGGGTAATGCTTTTCTAACGGTCCTTATGCAGTCTCTGTAAAAATATGGAAAGGACCCCTGGAGGTTTACTTTCCTGAAAAAAGTGTGTTATGTGTCGGAACCCTGGTGGTGGGTTGCGGGATATCAAGGAGGGGCACACTGGGGCAATTTCAGTCCAGCAGGCTGGAGCCAATCATGGAGCAGCACAACAGAGGAAGTCAGGTGAAAAGGTGCAAGTGTGTGGTTCATTAGGCTGCAAGACATCATGGAGGATATTATATTAAAAAATGACGTGTTCAAAATCCCTTATAAAGATGACCATGATTCAGAAAGTTAAATTCAAAAAGGTTTATTTCCCTAATACAAAAAGAATCTAAAACAGCTGTCCGGACCAAAAAGTATCTAATCCCTATCCTCTATATAAGGTGTAACATTGGTTGGGCGCTCCACCAAGTCACACAGCTAAACCCTGATCCGGACTGAAAAAACTAACACACACATTCAAGCTATTCATTAAGTAAATGTGCAAGGGGAAGAAGGGGCGTGTCGTATCAGTCAGCTCTTGGTCCAGGGTCCGGCCTCCATCAGGTCTTCTCCGTCTCGCCAGACCTAAACAGAAATCATTCACGCACTACCCCTCCCTAATTCTATAGATTTATTAGTTCCTTTGAGATAAGGCAGAGGGATCTCAAGGCTTCTCCTCCAGATTCTGGACTCCATCTCCTTCTTTCACAACTTGAAAGGATTAGCAGAATCCCCCCAGATTAACTATCATTAACTCACCCATGCACTTTGGACAAAATGGGACAAGGGGAGTTGGGCAATACAAGGTCTTTCTTTTTGCTTGGAGACAGACAGAGTTCAATTTCAGGTCAATCTAATTCACATCGCCTTTTAGCCTATATTTAATACAACAGTCCCCTCTTTTGGCCGCTATTAAAAAAGGCCACACATTTCAATAACCTTCCTCAGGCGACGGGACGGGGGAATCCTCAACCAATGCAAGCATTTGACCTCTCAGTCCAGGGTTAACAGCGGTGTCTATAGCTTTAACACAAAGAGAACGTATACAAGGTATACAGCAGCATCCTACAACCATTATTATTGCAAAGATGGCCGCAAGGCTTGTGATAACAGACAAAATTACATGCTTCCACTTCCCCAAGATGCTGTCCAGCCACGCCTCTAGTGGGTTCTCCGGGACTCCAGAAACGTCATGCATTTGCTCTGACAGCATTTTGAGACCAGCCAGAGCCCTGGAAACTGATCCATCTGGATGTGTGTTATTTGGAATGTATACACAACATTCTGTACCAAATAAACTGCAGACCCCACCTCTCTCTGCTAAGAGCATGTCTAGAGCCACTCTGTTTTGAAATGCTACCAGAGAGGTGGCCCCCAGCTGCTCCGCCAATCCCTCTATTGCGTCCCTGGTGTGATTGGCAAGCCTAAGCATAGTATACCAAATGAAATTAATTCTATCTACATTTTTGTTTGGCGTGATAGGGAAAATAGCGGAAATTATTGGAAGATTTTCGAAACCTGTTGCAATTTGATCTACCAGTTTGAATTCATGAGGGACTCCACGTGGAACACCTATAGAGTCCATGTAAGTTGGATTATCTTTCCCAGTATCTAGGAATGGTATTGCTCTTTTAAATCTATGCAGTGGGTGGGGACTGTCTAGGGATGGCTTATGGCCAATTATGGAAATGGGCATCATTAATCGCACCATTGCACAACTGCCTGTAAAATTTTTTATTAGTCTATGTCTAAGTTTTAAATCTCCACACAACCAATACAAATCACCTCTGGTCCGGGTCATGGGGACCGGACTGGGCAGGGTGACGTTGTTGACACACCAGTCTGCTGGAAGGAACCCCCACTGGAGACGCGGCCTCGTCCCTCCATTGAGTGAGTGGAAACAGGTGTAATTGCTTTTCCTGTGGGAAAACATAGGGGGCTGAATTTCTGAATCCAATTCTGGAAACAATACTTCAAACATTGAACAGTTGCTAGGGACTGTCTTTGTCTCCTCAGTCAGGTCCTTTTCTTGCCAAAACAACTTTATCATACAATTATAACCATCTACATCTTCTGGGAAAAGTGGGGCCGGGGCTGTATACAAAGTGGGACGTGCAGTGGAACACACAACACAATCGTCAAAGCCAGCAGCCGCTGACATGTGCTCCACTGTCCACAACCAAGCGTTTCTATCCCCATATCCAGTTGCTTGTTTTAACAATTCAGAAACAGTCCAGTCAGCAGTCACCTGTACGTTTTGTTTGTCTTGCCATACTTCACTATCTATGGCCTCCTTGTCTAGCTCCTTGTCCTCGGGTAGGGCAATTGAAATCCATTGTCTAATGTCTCCTGGATAATGTCCAATAACGTAAGTCCCATTCACATCAATCCCACATTTTTCACAGTGACTAGCACCGTTGTTTGTGAGTGGTCTGTAGTCAGAATCACTCGTCCCTTCAATCTGTGTTCATTATTATAACCCCAATCAGGACCTGTATTGGATATAACATACTCCCAAGCATCACAGGTGCAGTCCACCGATGCTCTAAAGCTTTTTCCATGTCTCTCATATTTACATGTTGACGGTGTGTAACACAGGTAGAGTGTGTAGTCAGGTCGAAAGGATAATGGAAAGATTGTTGCCATTGGTATGTGGGCTGTAATTGTCGCACCCACCGGGCATTTTACTGTCACAGTCGTAGGTAGGGAGTCTCTAACGCTGCCTTCTCCTATGGATCTTTTATTTCTGTCAGTCTTATTGGACCAAAGACTGGATTGTGTTACAAGTCTGGCCCTGTCTCTTAGCTGTGTGTTTTCTAACACTTCCCATGTTAAAATTCCCAGGACCACGACCAAACCAACTGCAGCGATAGCCCATAGGATGGCTCTCCCTCTTTTGGTCGTGGCCTCCTTCTCGCAGAGGTCGAGACTTCCTTCAACCTGATGGGAAAAACTAGACAACATTTCTCTCAATTGTTCCCAGTACACCCGCACTGGGGGTGTTGGGGAGTCGTCTTTTGTGAAAGGCACCACCCTGTTTCCTGGTCCTGGCATAGGCCTCCCTGTTAACAGCTCGTATGGGGAGAAATGGTGAATGCGGTTAACAGAGTGCCTTGCTGACAACAGGGCAATAGGCAATGCCTGTAGCCAATTCAATTTACTCGTTGCCAGGATTTTAGAGAGTTTACTTTTCAAGGTCTGATTCATCCTTTCAACTCGGCCCTGGGATTGAGGATGGTAGACCGTTCCAAATTTATGTTTTAGCCCCAGATGTTTTTTCTACCAATTGCAAGTGTTTGTTCCTGAAATGCGTCCCATTGTCAGACCTTATTAACTGGGGAAAGCCATGCGTTGGGATGTAATGCTGAATTAAGGCTTTGATTACAGAGGCAGCATCCTCTTTTGCAGCAGGATATGCCTCAGGCCATCCCGTAAAGGTGTCAGTGACGACCAACAGGTACCGCTTTCCTGCGCACCTGTTAATCATATCTGTGAAGTCCATCACAACATGTGCCCCAGGCCAAGCAGCAGGCGTAAATTTTCCTGGGGAAACAGCTGAGCAGGGCGATGGGTTATAATTCTGACATATTTGACAGGACCTAGTATAATCTTGGATCATGCTTGTCTTAAAGGGATGCCACCATTGTGACATATTCCTGAGCATCTGTACCTGACCCACATGGGCTAGCCCATGTGCCTCAGATAAAGCCGCTCGTGAGAGGTCCCCCATGGGCAGGGCGGGGCGGCCATCAGGGCCGTACCAGATGCCAGTATCTGGATCCTTCTTTGCCCGTTTTTGAACCCACATGGATATTTCTTCAGGAGCTGCTTTTGTTTGGGCTTCAGC